AACTTCCAGATCATCAGTTTTGTGTTTAGCAAGTATGGAATCTAGGGGAGACCCTCATTGTTACCAGTGGATTTTGAACCTTGATCTGCTGCTTTTCCTTCCCCTGAACCACGGACCAGAATACATAATCTTGTGTACATGCATTGCGCAGTACCATTAGGCAAGCACCTAATAGCCTGATTTGATAGTATAAATAGTGTTTGATTTAGCAGGTTGGTGAACTCTGTACTGCAAAAAAGATGAGTAATTTTTATTGATTGTGGCAAAACAGCCAAGTGGGCCTTAACCAGGGGATGTGAACATTTCCATGCATGAGTTGCACATCAACAGCATATATTGAGAGCAAGTATCTTGTCAAGAGGACAATTTCCAGTGCTACCCAGGGATGCTAAAATGTTTCTAAGAGAGAGACATTTAACCTTGTTCAAGGAAAAAAAGCCACTAAGGTGGGGAGCTTGTGGAAAGCTTAGAGTATCAGGAGTATCCTCCACAAACATGGTAGAGTAACAGCAAGGCTTCCATGGAAGCCTCTTTGGGCTGTAAAAGAAGAATGTCTTCCACACTGCCAAACATGAGACTTGATTCTGTCTCCAGAAGCTTTTGCCACAGGATCTTTTGCAGCTAAATCAAAATAGAACCCAGGAAGACAGTCACACCAAATGATTTCCAGCAACTGTCTGGCCCTCTTTCCTCTTTTTGTATCAAGTCAAAGAAATGTAAGTAGAGAAAGCTTGGATGTTTGTAGTGCATTCACCTTAGATTCTTATGCAGTATATAAGAATAAATATATATCTAGTAAGGAACTAGATCTTTTGGAACTTAATAAAGGAAACTCTCAAATCTAGATAAAAAGAAAAGATTAGTTGCTAATAAGTGGCTTGTTGATAAAATATTATAAAAGAATGTGATTAAGTGGAGAAAAACATGAAATATCTCAGGTTTTGTGGTGGGAAGGTCTTACAGTACAACAAATATAGTTTTAATAGCTATATTTTAATAGTTACATTTTAATTAGTTATTCGTTATATTAATAGTCCTAGAACTGTTACTTAGTTCTAGAACAGGCCTGGACATTTTTGTCCTATGCATTTTGTATCTACCAACAAAATCCTTATCCATAGCTACATCTCCTGACTGTTTATGAAATACAGTTAAACAGTTACAGGATCTTGTTAGCATAAATGCAATACTTGGTGTATTGTTTAACTGATGGTACCTAGATAATGGCAAAACAAGGACATTTTTCTTTCTGATGCTAAGTTATTATGAAATAATTTGTCTTTTAAAATAGACTGCTTTATTGATAACTCCTGTCATGGCCTCATCTAGTGTGTTTTACTACATAAAGGGTGAAAACTAAGTGGGTACACATGGGCTGATAAGATTTACATGTCACATGAGAGACTTGCTGTTATCTTTCTGAAGTGCAGCATGACACCATAACAACAGGTTGCTGCCTGGTCTTCTGATGATATCTGGCAAGGTTATAGAGGAACTGTAGTCAAATTAAAAAAAAAAAAATCCTGTACTATATGTAAATAGGTATAATTGACTCCCTGTCCTTATCAAGCCAGCATGAGTTAGTCCTGTTCCTTCTTCTTCTGTCTTAATTAAACACGTTACATCTGTTGTCGGGGTGGGTTTATAGTGCCTGTATAGTCTTCCTGTAATTGATGATACTGTTGCTTGCTTTTGCCTTTCTTAAAGTATTTAGAGGAGAACTAAGTTTGACCCAGTTAGTCTCTTTTGAATCAGATGTCAGGTTAACTCTGTTACAGCTGAAGAGGAAAGAGGTAATGATCTTTGGACAGCTAACAAAACATAAGACACACTGAAAGATAAGGACGTTCCAGAAAAAAATGTTAAAGTACATAATATTTTTTTATGATATAAAGAAAACCTGGAGGTTGTGTTACTTAGAAACAATAGGTGGAGTGCTCTAACTCTGGGCAGAGCAGAATAAGGATACTATTCTTTCTAAGTACAATTAGTGTGGACTTTCAAAAGGAGGATCAGGCCTCACAAATCTGATATCCTCTTCTGGAGACAGGAAAACTAAGTGAGTCACAGCAGGAAAACTATTGGCATGATTAATCAAGACAAGGGGAAAGCTTTTCATACGGGAACATACAAAAGGCCTAATCCCAAACCCAAGGAGTAAGGCAAATAAACAGTTTAGGTGAATAAGAAGTAAGTTGCCAGTTCCAAGAAAGAATGGTGCAAGACAGGATTACAAAGCCTAGAAACTAATTACTGTGAGACTGGAAAGAAAGGGGAACAGTGAGAAAGCTGAGAGAAAACATTCTTTGATAATTGTGTTATTTCACAATTAACAGTCTCAGGGTGTCCAACTCAAGTAAATTGATTCCCAGTTCATTAGAATCACTTGCATCTCACATGACATCTCTAAACATGTAAAAGAAAAATGTTCTTTGAATATTAGACATCTTTGAGGTCAAATGAATGGGTGTAATGAATTTAATTGATTATTTATGTTATGGACCCAGAACCATCCATCCTTCATAGCTATAAACACCTTTTTTTCCTTTGTGTCCCTACAGCATTCCTGACTGCTGGGAATACTTCAGTGCCTGTGCTACTGGCAAGAACTTGAGGCAAAGACGGCATGTCAGTTTTCTTGTGGCTCTAGCTCCCTACTGAGAGCCTCAAAAACTGTGTCTGGAGGCAGTCCTTCAAAGCCTGCCAGATTCCTAAGGCTGTGAGTGGGCATAATTTATTGACAGCTCCAAAGGGACGCCCTTCTCTGCTCTCTGCAGGCCAAACAGACAGTTTTTGGATAGTTTCTCATTACTTGATTAGGAGTATGATACCACTTCACTGTTTGAACAGTCATCCTAAAGACTGAGAAGAGGTTATGGCTAGTGATCTCAATGTGCAAGCATGATGACTTTTAAATAAAAGTAGCTTCAATCCATGGGAAGGGCTCTCAGTCCCTCATTTTTGAGTTCCCAAGATTTCCCTCATTCCACTAGCTGTAAGGTCAGATGAAGATCCCTGTACCTGATCTGGTTAATACACTAGCACTAGCTGTCAGTCAGCCCTACAACCACCTACTAGACTACACCTGTTCCTAAAGGAATATTAGTATACTACACACTTCCCTTCAGACTTAGCACTGCTCTCCCCTTTGGCCTTTCTGTCACCTTGCTAGGGAACAGCTGATAACATGGTCTCAAGACAAGTGGAAGTAGCTGTCCCCTGCTGGAACTGTTGGTCAGGGCCTCGATGGCACAGACAGGGCTCACTGTCCCTGCCCAGCCTTCCCTAGAGCATCCCACATCCTGCCATTTCAGCTTCCCGGGGCTGCCAGCCCCTGCCTCAGTGATGCCACAGCAGGGATGATCTTTGGCTTCCCTGAGCACTGCTAGAGCCTGGCGTTGATGTTCCAGCAGCTCCTCCACTTGGCTGAACTAAGATGGTAAGACAAGCTGAGGGACCCATGTTATCTATTGCTGCTATCTCTGTCAGAGCTGTGTTACAGAGACAGGTGGCTGAAACCTGAGGTGTTCTGTATCATGAAGGACATTAAAGTGTGTTTAAAAGAGAGGCACCAAAGGATAGATAGATTTATTGTCTGATCAATTAGCTAATGTCTTTAAACTTTTTTTTTCTACAGTTAAGGATCTGTAGGTGGACTTATTTTTAAAAATGTTAATTAAATGGACTTGGATGGTTGAATGTGCTGATGTATTACTGTGAATTACTTCTTGAAAGAATGAAACTTCTTAGATGCATTATGTGACTTTAAATATCTGCCCTTGCCTCATGGAAGAGAAGGATAGGGTATATATTATATATAGGGTATAATATATATTATTGCTTTCCTCTTTTAGGAAAGGCTGGTGTGTCATGCTTTTGTGTTATCAGTTACAACTGCTTTTCTTGATACTCTTCTGCCTTCCCCTTCATCAGTCTTGACATGGACCACACCACTGCTCTCTCTGTTTTATGATATTTGAGGAATTTGGTCAATCCAAGATGTAATGTCATCCTCTCCCCCTTCCTCCCCCTGCCATCTCCCTGTCTGACTGCCTCTGTAACAAAGGCAATGTTCTCAAGAGGCATGTTTGTAGATTTTCAAAACTTCAGATAAGCCCATCCAAGTATATAAAATACAGAAGGGCACCTATTGTGAAAAAAACATGAACACAATCTACATTCTTAGCCTGCCAAGGACTGTCAAGGGGTTGGTACTATCTCTATTACTGCATTCTGGCAGAGTGTGTCACTGGGCTGTGAGAGTCTTGGGTGTTTCTGTACTGCAAATAATGGTGCTACTTGTTAGTAAATAAATTCCTGGAACGGTCTAGAATTCCCAGTAGAGTCACTCATGACAAAGGGTGTTGATTACTTTTGTTGTAGCCATGGCATGCTGAGTGGTTTACACCTGAGAAGCCACATGACCAGGAAAAGAAACAAAGAGAGCTCTCAGATGACAACCATGTAATGAAAAGAGTAGAGTGCGTTTAAGTGTTTGGTATGTATGCTAGCAGAGGTGTAATAAATCTGTTCAAATAAACGAAAAATTCTTGTTTGTTCCACTTATTCTGCTCTACTGTCAGGGGAGGTTTAGGTTGAATACTAGAAAAAGGTTCTTCACCCCTTGGGTGGTTGGACACGGGAATAGGGAAGTTCCCTGCTCCCCAGTGCAGTGGTCACAGCACTAGCGTGCCAGAGTTCAAGAAACGCTTGGACAGTGCTCTCAGGCACACGGTGTGACCCTTGGGGCTGCCCTGTGCAGGGCCGGTAGCTGGCCTCGATGATCCCTGAGTCTCTTCCAACTCAGCACAGTCGGTGCCCCAGTGCCCCGGCGCTCGGCAGGAGCAGCGGCGCAGGAGCGGCGGGCAGGCGCTGCCCTCAGGCGCTGCCCTCCCGCTGACCGCCGCCGCGGCGCCCGCTGCGTGCCCGGTCCCGCCCCGCGCCGGCGCTGACGCGCGGCGGCGGTGACGCCCCATAAATAGCGGGGCCAGGCCGGCGCTCCCCACTCGGCGGTGGCGGCGGCGCCCGTGCCTGCGACTCTGCCCGTGCTCCCGTCGGCGGCGGCTCCGGCTCCTCCTCCCGGGTGAGTACGGCCGGCCCGGTGCTCCGGCGCGGCTGTCGGCGGCCGCGGGGGCGCCGGCCCGCCCCGCGGGGCTGACTCCGCAATATGGTGGAGCGGAGCGGAGCGGGCCGGGGCGCGGCCCCGGGTGCAGCGCTGACCGCCGGGCCGTCCCCGCTGCCCCCGCCCCGCGGCCCGGCGTGCTTCGGTGCGCTGGGCGAGGTTCTCCTGGGACCAGAAATTCCCGAGAGCCTCGTCCGCCCCCGGGAGCGGCGTTGGAATGCCCCATCCCGGAAGCGGCCCGTGAGGGCGCTTGGGAAAGCGGTGCGCTCTCCTGCCTTGGGTACCGCGGCGAGCCAGAGCAGGCGCCGCGGCTGTTGTGCGTGGCTCATCGCGCTGCTTTCTTGCACTTCCTTCCGTAGGGAGGGGGGAAAATAGGAATGAAGTTTGTGATGTAGCCTGTGTGCTTTCCTCTCCAGAAACTCTTGTGGTCTCTGAAATATGCTTGGCCTTGGATTCCAGGCGTCTCACTCACCTGCTCCAGAGGATGGATTGACTTTTGCTGGGGCTGAACCTATTCAGGGGGTCTCTGAAAGCGTGGAAGAGTCTAGTTATCTTCTTTGTCTTTAGGAGCAGGAATAACTTTACAGGCTAACTGGACTGGTTTATTGACTAAAATTCAAATGCATGTCCTGTGTGGATTGATTTTATGAGACACACTACGAATATTAAATAATCCTTAAAGTAACGGCACTTCTTCCTTCAGAGTCCAGATTCTGTGGCATTAGCGTATTCACCGGTTCTGTAGCATGCTTTGCAGTTCATGGTAAAATACAGTTGTACTTCTAGTGATCTGATTTGTAATGCTGTGTGAAAAACATAGCACGTTCCTGCAGGTATTTAAATACTTGTTAAGTTAAATGAGAACGTCTTTGTTACTACCATAACCTTTGTCTGCTACTTGTTTTCCTTGTGTGTTCCACGTACAGTGGTTAATCTCATTACCAGCGTTACTTTATGGCACACGTATGTTAATATGTGCAAATATGCCTGCAAGATGTTAACAGGATGCCTTTGTCGTTGTTGCCCATTATGTAATTAATTTTACCTCAGACAGAATATTAACATGTTCCTTTTTTGCTGTCCATACATATGAGACAGAAAACTGCTGTTGGCTCTTTGACAAACCTAGCAAACCAAATGTGGCAAACCTTGTAAGCCACAACCTTTTTCAGGATGGACTCCTAATTTACCTTTTTATTGCCTTCATTCATGCAGATTCTTCTGGAACTTCAGCATTATGTGAAATCATTAGTGGAAAAGGTGCTTTTTGCAGATTTAGTTCAGCCTACCTGTGTACATAGGATGACAGTGTGCTTCAGTGTGTTCTCCTTATATAGTACTGCAATACCCTGTCCCTTCTATAGGGTTCTTGTGGGGACAGCTGTTAGTATTTTCTCCATGTGAATACATGTTGGAATGAATGTTGAGTACTGTAGATTTGTTGAGTGACCAACGTTTGCAGTTTGTTTCAGTGGGGAATGTGTGATAATTTAGTCTAAATTAGCATAAGGCAGATTTATTTTCTGCAGTAGGGAAATCCGATGCTCTCCGTATCACAGGAATGCTAACTCCTTAGCAAGCAGAACAGAGTGAGCCTTAGGTGGGCTCCCTAAAAGATCTAATCTGATTAAAGCTATTGGTGGGGGGTTCTTTGTCTGACTTGCATGTTCTAAATTAGATTTTCAGTGACTTGCAGGCTGGATTTTTTGTCATGGCTCAACAGATAAGTCTGTCTTAATTCTTCTAGAAAAAATGACCCAACTACTCAGTTATTCATCAATGAACTGCTGTACCTTAAAGCCTGTCTTGTTCATATGCTGTACTTGCGTTACCTAAACCAAGTTTTGGGTTTGTAAATTGTTACAATGGAATCTAATTCCTGTATGCATGAAATGTGAACATCCTGATCCCAGTAAATGGGGTGGATCACAAGAAGGTTGTTGGTTTCAAAGTTTGGTGCTTAGATGAAGCAGATATAATGCCGTAGCTTATACATGCTTCTTTCACAGGCTGTGTGAGGTTCAAGACCTGAAAAAATGGCATTGGCAGCAATTGATCCACAGCAGGTATGTCTGAGTTAGTCCCATAATTTCCTTGTCTAGATCATAAAATAGGAGTTAACTAACACCTTTCTCTTTTAAAACAGAACATTGTTTCGAGGGTTGCCAACCTTCCTTTGGTGAGCTCCACCTATGATATGGTGTCCACAGCTTACATCACCACAAAGGATAACTATCCTTATCTGAAGTCAGTGTGTGAGATAGCAGAGAAAGGAGTGAAGACAATTACATCAGTAGCCATGACAAGTGCTATGCCTATCATTCAGAAACTGGAACCACAAAGTAAGGCAAAGATGAAGCTGTTGATAACTTTAGTTCATCTGATTGTTTTTATATCCAGATGCGCTTATGGTTTAACATGGTCATGCTGGTCTTGAATGCTCTTTCACGTAGCTTACTGAACCTGTTGCCTGATTTGTTGTGTAACTGATTACACATTGATAAGACTTAAAAAAAAAAAGGTAATAATCCAGAGTGAAAGCAGATTCCAGCTTTCATAATACTAAATTGATGGGTGACTTTTATATGTGAGATGATTATGCAGTTTCTTGCTCAACACTTTCCTCACCTTTTACCTGTTTTCAGATGCTACTCTTGTGCTTTCTTACACTGAGAACTGGTTAAATTTGGAAGCTGTGTCACAAGGCTGTTGTAACCAGAAACCTGGTTTCATAGAATGGCAGAGGGACAGGTGTTTCAGCTTCTGCCAGTTGCTTGTAAATTATCAGATGACTTTTCTTTGCCTGCAAGTGAGGATTTTTTTTCTGGTACTGTAAATCTACCTTTTTCTTTGCCTTTGCTGACTTAGAACTCACTGAGAAGAGGAGGAAACTGCTTCAAGGGTGTTGCATGACTTCTTTTTCAAGAGGAATTTTCAGTTTGATTTTTACTAGGTGAAAAATAATTAAAGCCAACTCTTGTAATTTCTTTTACAGTTGTAGTTGCCAACAACTATGCCTGTATAGGTCTAGACAAAATTGAAGAGAGACTGCCTATACTGAATCAACCCACCGACAAGGTAAGTTCTTTCCATTTATGTATGCTAAGCAGAAGAACCATAAACACTTCTTTTCTAAATCTTTTCTTATCACTAAAACCCAAGAGAGATACATTTCAAAAAGCTGTGCCTGAAGCACAGCTTGGAAGCAATGAGAAAGTCAAAGATTGATCTGTAGAACTGTTTGTTGCCTTTGGGAGACCATTAAGCTTTTTGGTTTTTTAAATTATTTTAAATTGTCCACCACTTTACAACATTTCTCTGTGAGTGCAGTTCACTGGTGGGTGTCTTTTAAAACTTGAGTCTTTGTCTCTTTCTTGCACAAAGTGCCTGGATTATATTCACTGAAGTTTTTGAAAACTTCAAAGCTGTGTGGCAGTCATGTTCTTTTTTTCTCTTGTACATATTTTTTTAGGGCACATTTTCTCCTAGATAACCAATACTTGTACAAGCTTTAGCATATATTTATTATTTCCAGGATTATGTAGCTCTCACTAGTTAAAACTTTTTGTAAATCTACGTATGTCCTACAACAGGTTGTTGCCAATGCCAAGGATGTAGTTGTTGGAGCCAGAGAAGCTGTAACAACCACTGTGACTGGTGCCAAGGAAACTGTTGCTCACACGATCACTGGAGTTGTGGGCAAGACTAAAGAAGCAGTGCAAGACAGCGTAGAAATGACCAAGTCAGTTGTCAATGGCAGCATTAACACTGTCCTGGGAAGTCGTGTGGTGCAAATGGTGAGCAGTGGTGTGGACAGTGCTCTCACAAAATCAGAGACCCTTGTAGACCAGTATCTTCCACTTACAGAAGCAGAACTAGGTAAGACCACTTGAAGGTTTGATTTTGTTGGAATGCTTATATTGGAGAGAAGCAAGCAATCATCCGTATATTGCTTACTCATAGTGGGGGAGGGGGGCACATGCCTCCCAAACTGTCTTTTGCCTTGCTGTTTGTAATAGCAGCATCTTCACAAGGAAGCAGAATGAAAGTAAGGATTTCTCTTAAAGTGGTCTATCAGCCTAATCATGGTGCTAAAGGACTACTCAACAAACCCTTTATTCAGCTGTTACTAGGCAGATAAAATTGTCTCAGACCTCTAATTTTTCCTCTAGTAATCAATTTGCTTCCTTTCTACATACCTAGAGAAAGAAGCTGCAAATGTTGAAGGCTTTGAAGTTGGAGTCCAAAAGCCAAGCTACTATGTTAGACTAGGATCCCTGTCTTCAAAGGTCCGCACACGTGCCTACCAACAAGCCTTAAACAAAGTTAGAGATGCTAAACAGAAAAGCCAGGAAACAATCTCTCAGCTCCACTACACTGTTAGTCTGGTAAGTTAAACTTTCACTTGATACATAAAAACCATACGTTGGCCTTGGTTTAGTGTGAAGAAAACAGCTGGAAGAGTCGCAGAAAAACTGGGATTGCTCTCTGACTAAATCCATGAATACATTATTGCATTAAATACAAAGAATTTGCCATTAAGCGATTTTTGTCACCATTCAGGAGAGCTCTAAATCAGGCTAAGCTGTGAACTAATGAGCAATTGCTTGTAGCTGCAAGCACTGCAGAAACAGAAGTGACGTGTTTAAATTTATGCCTGTTTTGTAGTGCTGGTTTTGACACATACTTCATTCAGTGAAGAAAGTGTCATGCAATTTAGAAACACATCAGTCCTTTAAATCCTTTTTATTAGTAAAACTTCAAATTCTTTTGGGACTTGCTCTCTTGCTGCTTCTAACTCTAAGTATTTCTGGTACTTCAGTAGTCTTTATTCCAGCAAATATCTTTATGTACATGACAAACTGCACGTAGAGTCATGGCCTTCTATATGCTTTCAGTTCCTCCTGCAGGATGCCAGTGGGGGATGGGGAAATAGTAGAGGCAGAGGGGAACACTACACAACATCTTAAAACTGCTTTCAGTTTTCAATTCTTTGATGAGACTAAACAGACGCTTATACTACCCAAAGTTGTTTATACTGAATTTCTGAAGTATTTTAAAAGGAGAGTACAAAACAGTCAGGGTAGAGAAGCCCTAAAGGAACTGTTTGGACTCTTGTCTCTACTTCCTTATTTGGCTGTATTTCAGATCGAGTATGCCAGAAAGAACGTGAATAGTGCCAATAAGAAACTTCTTGGTGCTCAGGAAAAGCTTTATCAATCCTGGGTAGAATGGAAGAAAAATACAGGCCAAAATGATGGTGATGATCTGCGTAGTGCTGAGGTAAATAGATGTAAATGTATGCCAGAAATAAATATATTTTATCTCATCAAGGTAATGGCAAACTAACAGTCCCTGAAGTGTGCAAGAGAGAGGCTGCATGCTGAAGCTAAGGACAGCTGACTTCTGAGAACTAGGGGACCTGAACTCTTTAAATGGGTCTACTTGCTGCAAACACTCGGGTTCATTCTCCTCTCTTGAGAACGCTCATCCTATTTAGCATGTGAACGCATGTTGGAATATCTGTATGTAGATTAGTTAGAAACCATTTATGTGATGTGTCCAGACCAGAAATAATGATTTGTCAGCAGTCTTAGGCAGACTCACTCAGTCCTACACATAGCTTTCAGGGATAGTTCACTGTTTAGAATGTAGTTACCTGCTGTGACTTGTTATCCAGAGTTGAAATAAGAATCTGCTTGACTGTTGCTGGGTAGAAGCTATCAGTTTCTTTTCATGAAGTACTTGAGTGTTGAAGGAATATCAAGTACTTCTAAGTCTTTGATGCTTCAGACTAAAAACCTGGTTTATTATCTGCTATAGCTTTATTTCACCTATATCCACTTTCCTTTGCTTCTTTATGTATCTTGACCAACATAAAGCTGCTACAGTCATAAAAAGACACTAATTTGCTGTTGTGCTTGTTCTTTCTAGCACATTGAGTCCAGAACTCTAGCTATTGCACGGAGCCTCACTCAGCAGCTTCAGACCACCTGCCTCACATTGGTCTCAAGCCTTCAGGGGCTGCCACAGAATGTACAGGATCAGGTTTACAGTGTTGGGTCAATGGCAGGTGGTGTCTACCAGAGCTTTCGGTCAGCATCCTCTTTCCAAGAATTATCAGACAGCTTTATTGCGGCTAGCAAAGGACAGCTGAAGAAAATGAAGGAGTCTCTGGATGATGTGATGGATTATCTTGTTAACAACACACCGCTCAACTGGCTGGTAGGTCCCTTTTACCTACAACTGCCTGGCATTCAGCATGCTGAAAGCAAAGGTGAAGGGGAGGAAGGTTCCAGCCAGAAAGACAAACAGCCTGAACACACTACTGAACTAGCTGCATAGCACACATGTACTCTGCTGACTGACCAAATGAGTGGCCTTACTAAGTGTAGCTGGCAAAAAAATCCATTTTCACCATTTTTTGGTGAACAATTCATAAATACAGGAATAGGGGATTCTAGAGGCCAGGACACTTAGACATGGGTTGCATTGTCCTGTGTAGTTAAGCCACTCTTAAACGAGATTCAAGTGCCTAAATATTGGCAGCTGACAGTTGTCAAGATGCCCTATTAGTCTGTCAAGCATCTCATCGTGCTTCAGTGGTATAAATACCATTAGTCTAAATGAAACCCACCATAGCTGAAGGCCTTTGATTTGTTGCTTAATCTCTACCAGAAAGATATAAAAAAGCCTTACGTACTGTGAAATGCATTTAACAGCTCTACAGTCTAGCTATGTACACTTAAATGCTATGCTTACTGCAGATCCCACATTTGATAAATATGCATCTGACTTTCAGATTCTATTGCTACATCATTCCTGACAAAAGTTCTGTGAGTGCAGAATGCCAAAGCTGAAAGTGGGGTTTCTGAATGAGTCAGCTGGAGTACAATGCTGTGACAGTGTTAACATTAACTGTACAAATTTAATTATTGTATTACACATTAACATGACCACAGAATCATAGATTATCTCAAGCTGGAATGGACCAATAAGCATCAACAAGTTTGACTCCTGCTCCTTGCAGGACTAACTGAAAACTAAACCATATGGTTAAGAGCATCATCTAGATGCTCTATGAACACTGTTCCAGTGATTGACCAAATAATTATCAACACATTTTTTAATATGCAGTATAAACGAAAGATTCATGCTGTTTGTACCAAGGTGCCTGCTGTTGTGTGTTTTTTGTAGCTATTGTTTTGTAACTCATTTTTGTATGTTAGTAATAAATGCTTTAGTAGTCAAAGCCTGTCTCCTTTGTTTTAAAACAATCTAACTTGCTCTTCTGTGTCTCTCTCAAACTGGGTCCAGCAGAAAGCAAGTTTGACATGCAAACGATGTAGATGTGCATTGAAAATGTTTGCATCTGTATAGATGGATAGATAAGATACTGCTGCAGCATTTCCTTTCTGTTGAATTTCTGTGTATCAGTCCATTGAGTCTTAGCTTCACTGCTGCTTTTGCTGATCCTTGCTGTTGTCACCTTTAAAGATGACCTAAGCTGTGAGCTGCTGGATGTTCTAATATTGAAAACAGATGGATATGGACAAAAGAATCCTCTCATCCCTTCACAGTAGGTGTTGTATGTGCTTGACTTGGTCATCTACCTGCTTTGTTTTCTGACTCCCTATAAGCAGTGTTTACTTCTCAGCTGCATCACCAGTTTTAACTTAACTTTCTTTTCCTCTTGAACTTGAGTGATAAATGTATGTTAATGCTCAGTTACTTCAGTGGAATTGTTCTCAGTAACTCCTGTGAACCCCTCCACTGGAAGAGAAGTAGTTACTAAGAAATAAGCTTTCTTGGGTTAGGGCTGTCCAGGTAAGTTGTATCCTTATTCTTGATGCATGCCCTATACAACTTTGGGTCGCAATCATCTAGTGTAGTAATGCCAGCCACCATTTTCAAAGAAGTCACCAAATAGTGAGGTGAACCACGTAGTCACACATTGCTACATGGAACAAATACCTCCACCTGGTTTGATGTAGGCACTAAAGCAGATTACATGTTGTCCAGCCGTTTAATATGAGAGGGTTAGCTGTTAGATCAGGGTTAGCCTAGAAGTGTAAGAAAGACTGTTTTAAGCACAGTATTAAATGAAACTGTAACAAAACAGGATTGCAGGTAAAGATTCTGTAGCTTACAGGTTTTAATACTCCCTTTATATAAGGGCAGTGTTTAACATGAAATAAAGATGAGATGATGAGACTCCTTTCCAGCTAGGGCCTGAGTTAAGACTATTGGAGACATAGCGCTTTCAGGAATTAATTTAAGTTTACTTTACTATTGCATAGGTCCAGCAAGAATATCCATTTTATCTCCATTTGCACTAATACTTGTGGAGTGCATCCACGATTATAGATTGCTCAGAAAGTGAATGGAACTAATTAGTTGTGGGAGTAGTGGGCTGTTCAAAGAAGGGAATTCCCATTCTTCTATGTGCATTTTAGGGTCTAGTTGCTCTGGGACTTCATCCTGATATGATCAATCAAATAAAATATTCAAACTTTTCAATGTCTTTTAAGGACTGAGAAATAAACAGCATCATCTAGCATTAATGCAGGAGCAGTACATTGTGTCTGTTCTGTCTTGTGTTGCTGGTTTGTATTCTTGCATGGCCGTCCAGCTTTACTAAATCTCAGCAAGCAGATGAAGTGGAAATCAAGGAAACCTTATTACCAGCCTAGACCTCCAAAGCACTTCTTCATTACCAGACATTGTTGGGTGGCTTCTCTTCATGGCAGCTGGCCTACAACTGGTGGCTGCAAACAGAGCAAGACCTGGTTAAATGCTTACCTAATGGCTGGGCTCCTGTGTCATGTTGTTGTGATAGGTGCTTGTTTTGTAGGATGCTGCCCACTCTGCAAATGTTTTTAAGTTTCTATGCACAGACACACAACCCTCCAACCCCCATTGGAATTAGTGGAAGAGATGGCTGAGTAGTAGCAAGTTGGTATTTGCTACTACTGATTTTTTAAATATTATAAAGTTCTGTGATTAAGATTATTAGATTCTGCTAATAAGGAGAGCATTGAATATTTAAACTGATTTGCAACTGTACTTGCATGGGTATCTTATTGCAGGTAATTTAGCATAGCATATTCCACACTCCAGTCTAACTGCAGCTCAACAGACAGAATTTAGGATTTTTCTCTAGTGCAGCTAGAGAAAGGGACTATTAACATGTCCACTGGAGGCAAGAATGATGCCTTCCAAAGTCTTGTCTTTTTGCCACTGTTTTTGACTGAAGCTGAGGTGCTTCCTCAAAAATAAAATAAAGGAAAGCTGAGATACTGCCATCTTACATGTTTCTCTTAAACTGTATGTATTAAACAGCTCAGCTGCACTGCACAGAAGCTTGCTTCCTCTTAGTCCAAAATCATATTTGAGGATATAGCTTGAGCTAGAAAACTGAGGTTTTCTCTGGAACCTTTTAAAAAAGGTAGGACCAGATGTATTGAAAATTATAGGAAGTAGATTCAACTATTTTCAACAAGGTGGGTAAACTAGATTAAATGGAAGAATGTTAAAGGCTTCTAGTATTAATATTAAGATCATTATCACTTGTAAGGTTATTTAGGGTTTATTTAGAATTCAGAAAATTACTTTTTCTCTTTTGGAGATCACTCAAAAATTGTTCATGCTAGTTGACATTTCCTCTTCCCAGGTGCATTTAAGAGAGAACTATTATTCTATCATTGCTGATAATTGTTTTTTAGAAAGGCTTTCAATATAAGCATTTGTTAATAGCTCCATATAGTATACAAGTTTTGCAAACATATTTATATAATTGGTCAAAGCCAAATTATAAGATTTGTTTAAGGCCTGGAGGTGCAGTTAAGTTTGCCTAAATCTAAAGAAAGGTGTAAAGGTTTGGAAATATCTCCTATTGTTCAAGATTAATATTTTTGCAATAATCTTTTCCAGAATTCAACTTAGGGTAATATTTTATAGCTAGTAAAATAGGTGAAAGGATTTGGGAACAAGTGATGAATTATTTCTCGTTATTTAAAAAAAGCAGCAACTACCACCAAAAGGCTTTTTTTAAACCCTCGAAAAGATGAAACAGAACCAAACTTATTTTTAAGCATACTTGGTTAGTAATTTGCATGATCAGAGAGTCTTACATGAGTAGCTTTCTGGAGGTATTATGCACAATGTTTTGTTAAATGAATTTATATTTGTTTATTGCCAATTCATGGCAATTGTATTTCTTTTGGATAATACAGTCTCTTGATGACTAAAAATAAACACTTGTTCTGAAAGCTCACAAAATGAGGATGCTGTGTCAAAATGCTAGTGGCTCAGTTCTAAAAACTTAGCCCAAAAAAACCAACCAAACAGATTGAAGTTGTTAGTATTGACATCAACATTTGTATATGAAGACAGCAAAACGCCATAGTATTTTTTACACTGTTCTATGTAGGGATTTTGCAAGTATTATATCTTTGTAAATGGTTTACTGAATCATACAGAGAAATTGCATGAAGAAGATTTTCATCTAGTTTTTTTTTTAATTCAGTAATTGATAGGAAGTTGAAAGAAAACAGTGAGTCAACTGGAAGCAAAGATCTTTTACATAAGGAATTCCATAACACCAAGGGCTTTGCATTGTTTTAGTTAGACTGGTGCAGATATATTCCAATATAATTTAGCATGGTCAAAACTGAAGTGAGTCATACTGACATCCAGTCGGTTTTACTCAGAGATGCACTCCAATTTGAAGTTCTCTCGTGGCTATCAAAATCTTACATTAAAGGAATCAGGTTCTTCTACTGCATGCATTAAGGAGATGAAGAAAGCAGAAACTTAAATTTGAGCAATATTTCTGTTGGCACTAAGAACAAAATGGATGTAAGTAATAAAAACCTCTTAAATGAATGATAGAGAAAATTCTTACTGGTCAGACACACTTAGTGAACATGGCTGTGTCCTGGTCAGTGTGAATACATAAAACTATCCATTTGGGCACATATGCATATAATACATAAAACTATCCATATGGACTACTTAGTCTTTTTAGGATATCTCTATTTGTACTGCAGTATGAATTACAAGATCATGTGCTGATAATGGAGAAGTCTGTTGCCTTCTCCAAGTGCAGTAATGAGAATTTTAGGAAAACTGCCATAAGTAGAAAGATGCAAGATAATTCTTGCTGGTAGAAAGATGTGTTTCCTGCATTCCTAGTGCCTTTTTGATCTTTTGGGAAACAAAAATTACTGATCTTATTTTGATCAAGCTCAAGTTCCCAAAATAGTATGTGCATTTCATGGTATTCATAGCAATGCTTGGTTAGTCACATGCTGCTTAAGTTCTTCTAAAGATCAGTTTTAATAAAAAATTAGTATTTTAAGGATCTCTGGTGTCCAATGACAACCTATTCTGTAAGACCAGTAAATTACTGTGCAGTGCTTCTGTGTTGTGTACAACCTGGTAGCTGAAGTAGTAGTCCCTTTATTTGATACATTGTCTGCCCTTCTGACCTGTCATCATAGCAGGCAAAGCATAGATTTTTCTTTCTTACTGTCTTTCATTAAAGTAAGTCATAAGATGTTTTGCAGTTAGGGAATGCATTAAAATGTCTCTTCAGTCAGTGCTGAGCTTAAGTTACAGAAATGCCTACAAGCTGCTGTTGCTTTGAACATGCAGAACCAAGGTCCTGTCAAAATGCAGCAGTAGTTGTTGCTGATACTGTGTCTGGTTCCAAGTACATCACATCACCAACACTAAAACTAACCATTAGCCATATTACAGATGTGAGTATTTTTCACTTGGGGCAAAAAAACTTACAAGTGAATTGCTTAATTTTATCCAGTTTTTCAGAAGTGCCTAAGTAATCCAAGTCCTACTAAGGGGACTTAAGGGTTGGGACTTAAGCTCCTAAGTGTCTTAGCCAACATTTTTAGAAGTCTGTTAACATCCATGTACCCACTGATGTCTTTCTGGCAATTCCTGAAACCCTGTGCTGCTTAGCAGTACAGAATACTATTCATGCAGTTAAAACAGAGGCCTAAGTGAGATTGCAGGTCCAGGTATTTGTTTCATCAGAAAAAGTCTGGTATAGAGGCAGGCAGAGCAACACGGTATCAATCTGTATCAATCTCCTCAGGGCAGATTACTTTGTATAGTCCATTTCTTCGGTGAAAAGAAGAAAGGCAACATTAGTTTGAAAATCTCCTTTCTTAATTTTCCAGTCACTAGTTACACTAAATTCAGTCCACTACATTCAGCTCTTTTCCATCTCTGCTATAAAATCTGACCTTCTAAGCAACTGATTTCCATCTTGTGTAGTATTTGATTTGTCTTAATAGTTCCTGTTTCCTTTGTGTCTGAGCATATTTCACTCTGTAATCAGGATGTTTGGTCTGATTTCTAGAAATGCTGAGCACCTTTGTGTCTTGTCTTCAGTGAAGGTGTACTGCACAAATTTGTTTAGTTTTACTTTTGAATTGATTGAAATTTCATTCCTACACAGGTTCCAGATTTCGCTATTACAGACCTGTCTTCAGAGTCAGATGATGTCCCAGATATTTTGGATTTGGATGAAGAGGATCAACAGGATTTTTCACGCACAAATGGTCCTTACACTACAGGGCAAAGAGCTGAATAGAGAAGCATAAAAATGTCTTTTTGATACAATGTACCTTTGCCATGTTTGATTTAGATTCCTCCTTTTTAAAGATGAACATGCCTAGTTTAGGGATTATGGGGATACTTTTTTAAAAAATCAGTACTGTTTCACTTAGCTGCATCAAAAATCTGGGTTTTTCAATGTAAGGAATGCATGCTACATTAATTGGTTAGCACGGGTGTCAGGCTCCAGTTCTACAAGCCAGGTAAAGCCTAATCAATATATCCAACTAATCTGATTTTTATTGATGATTTGTTCTCCTGCTGGTAGCAGCCATGAGAACACCCCAGTGCTTTGCATACAGGGCTGCCAAGAAAAGGAGTTGATGAGGATTTGCCCACTTTCAGTCTATGTGAAAAGCAGTGCTGTATCTACCTCTTTGCTGCTGGAAGGGGTAAGAGACTTTGTCTATCTCAGATTTTCTCAGGTTCTTTTGTTAGGCTCTGCACCTACAGAGCTTAGACGCTTAGAGCTTTCCTTTGGCAAGAGTGCTTTATGCACTAAAGGACTTCCTTTCTTTCCACATGCCTTCTGTGTGCAAGTATTATGGCCATCATGATGCTATCAGTTGTGGCGCCTGAGACTAAAGGGAGTAAATGCTTCAATATTAAAGTGTTTTGGGTATAAGAATAGCATTTAAATAAGAAAAGGGAAGAGATTGTAAAAAGAAAGGAAAAATAGAGAGTAAAGAGATAAAGATTTTGGACAAAAGAAAACTTGGGAAAAAAGAGGGAATTGAATTTAAGAGTTCTGGTGACAGTGATTTTTAAAAAAAAGTGTTTTAATAAAATCTCAATCAGTTATTTGCTAAGGGCTGCTGAGTCTGCATGTGCTCGCACACAGTAATTTCTCGAGGAGTTGGGGAGAGGGGTAATGGGACTGGAGGCGGACTTGTTGACATTTCTTTCCGAGGACCAGGCCGAGCTGCAGTGGCAGCAGCGACCTGTCCGTGTGGGCGGTGTGCCTGCAGCGCCGTGCCGGGAGCTGCGGCCGAGCGCCGCTCTCTGCGGCCGCGGGCCTGCTGCGCCCTCAGCCTGGGACGCCTGGCCTTGTGAGGGCCTGCAAGTCTGGCCACTGAAATGCCTTGGAATAAAAGTTTGAACCGCACAGCACGCTTGTCGGTGCGAGTTTTTCTTGTTAGGGTTAGGGGTTATTTGTTGTTGCTTTTTTGTGTTTTTTTTTAATTATTATTATTATTTTGGTTTTGTTGGTTTTTTGTTTTGGTTTGGTTTTGGGGGTTTTTCTTTGGGTTTTTGGTTTGTTTCATTTTGGTTTTGGGGTTTTTGTTTGTTTTGGTTTGGTGGGGTTTTTTTTTTCCCCCCGCGTAAATTCTGCAATCCGATTACAAAACACGAAGGGCCCTCTGGAGGAATACCGGCACCCGGACTACACCTCCCATGAGGCAGCGCGTCCGGCTTGCCTCGTAGTCGGAGACGCCGGTGGCGGACGGGAGGTCTCGCGAGGGTAGGGGATTGGTATGGGCGGGCCCGCGCGCGGGAGGTTTTGGCGGGCTCGGGAAGATGGCGGCGCGGGTGCCGTCTTTTACCCGCTCGGCGCCAAAGCCGCCTCTTAGCCGCTCGGCGCGGGTGCCGCCTCCTAACCGCTCGGCGTCGAAGCCGCCTCTTACCCGCTCGGCGCCGAAGCCGCCTTTTACCCGCCGGGTGTCGGAGGCGTCTTTTACCCGCTCGGCGGCGGAGGGGTCTTTTACCCGCTCGGCGGCGGAGGCGCCTTTTAGCCGCTCGGCGCCGAGAGCTGCAGTGGACACTAAGTGGGAGAGCGGTCACCTCTGGATCTGTTTGCTGGCCTTGGGCTTCGACCCGAAACTATACCATGGCATACAACTAGGGAGGTTAGTGCTAGGGAGAGCCGGGGGAGGGCGGAGGTGGGGGATCCGAGCGGGGCCCCGGTGTCACTCGGGAGTGCGAGGCGGGAGCGTCACGCCATGGCCGCCGAGGGGGCCGGTGCCCCTGGCGACAGAGAGCGCCCGGGAAATGCCCGGAGTGCAGCCGCAGACCACGTTATCTCAGAGCTTCTGAAGAAATGAAACCCAGGAATGGTGAGAACTCCTGCTCCCCCTCACAGTCATATGGAGAAGGCGAGGTGAGGGGCTTTTTAGCGCGTGTTTTGAAAACTTGCCTTGAAAGGTAACACTCTTGCCGGAATTGTTTCGTAGCACCGTGACCGTTAGGGGGCTGGAATGGACCTTAAAACATCACACAGATCCACCCCCGCCCCTCCGCCATGGGCCGGGCTGCTCAAGGCCTTACGCCAGCCTTAAACACTGCCTGGGTTGGGGCATTTGCAACCTCCCTGGGCAACCTGTTACAGTGTCTCACTAGTGTCACAGTCAAGATTTTTTTTCCCAAATACCTAACCTAAATATTCCCTCTTTGAACTTGTATCCATTACTCCTTGTTCTTTCACCACAGTTCCTGACAAAGAGTCCTTCTCCAGCTTCCCCGTAGGCCCCCTTCAGATACTGTAAGGTTGCTATAAGGTCTCCATGTAACCTTCTCTTTTCCTGAACAGCCCCAGCTCCCCAGCTCTCTCAGTCTTTGTAGGGGAGGTGCTCCAGTCTGCTTTTCAGCTTTGTGCCCCTTCTCTGGACTTGATCCAACAGTTCCATGTCCTTGTCAAGTTGGGGGCACCAGAGCTGAATGCAGCACTCCAGGTGGGGGGGGGGATCTCACAAGAGCAGGACAGAGGGGCAGAACCTTCGACCTGTTGGCCACGCTGTTTTTGTTGCAGCCCTGGATTTCACCCGTGTTAAATAGGATGAAAGGTCTATACTTTTACATAGGAAATAGAGCATTCAATTAAATATTCTGTAACATAATGCTGTTTTGTAGTCTTTAGCAGACAGTAAAAGTGCTCTGTTCATTTGTCACCAAAGCTACTTCTGATGTGGGTGTTTATTTGTGTATTAGGGATATGTTTGCTAAACCAAATGGCAAAGCGTTTTCTGTCATTGCCCGCTTCTTGTTTACAAAGCTGGATAAGCACCGTGCAAGACAAACTTTCAAGTAAGTGTTTGGCTTCTGAGGTTACTACTGTGCCCTTAATTAAGAGTATGTTTTATATAGTTGCTGGAGGGGAAGGGGTGGTTTCTTGGGGAATACTTTGGAAGAAGAGCATACAGACAGAGAATTTGTTTAATTTTGGTCACAATTTAGTCAATTTTGATCAGTCTGAAGCCTTGCCTTAATTAGTTGTTTCTGTTACTTGGCAACTTTGATATAAATTGTAATAGTTGATAACTAATCTACATGTCCTGTTCTTTCTGACCAAACAGAAAATAACATTTGTCATTTATGGACTGTTTCCAGGACCTTCAACATGGCAAGAACCCTGTGTACTTTAATAGTTTTTTGTAGGACAGAGCTCTATCAGCTTATGCATTTGAATGTATAAGCTGAAACAGCTCTGTCATACAAAAAAACCTGTCTCCATGCATTGCAGCATTGCAGGAGGAAGACCAGTGATATGAAAATGGTCAGGGTTCTGCCCTCTTTTTTTTTTTTTTCTCTTCTTCCTCTGTCCCAAGTTAGAAAGAGCTGCAGACAAACCTTTCTCTGAAATAATCTGTAATTAACTTATGAAAAGAAAACATTGTAATATGACAAACCTTTATCTGTTCTTGGTTTGGGATGTATGCCCCTCATTTTCTGGCTTGGCATCAATACGAAACCTGTGTCTTACTCTTGATTTTACAATGGTTAATTAGGAATCCGAATATTTGAATGTGTTTTGACATGGCTTTTTTCTTCTTTTTTTTTTCCCCTCTTCCTTTTTAAATGAAAAGGCAATCTGGAATCTCAAGTCTATCAAGTCCTAGATTTAGGAAGCGCTGCTGTCTGTGGCTAAAAGAAATTTCAGTGAGTATTATGAAAAGTGCAAGTTGATGCTCTGCTGGTTTTTGTGACCTTATTTTGTTTATGAGGGAACTGTTTTATATCAGAGTTTCAAATAAGAAATTTTTTATCAAAGAATTTAGTTTTGCTTTGTCTATTCTTTCGTGTAGTTTATCTTGGACTTCCTTGAAGAAAAGATGTTGGCATTGGGGAATTTAGAAGAGAGAGACCTAGTTGTGTCCTAAAACTGCTGTGGCTTGCTTTTGGGTAACAGTATTTTATTAAATGGAAGTCTAGAGAGTCTCTTAACCCTGGGTGGGAATAACTTCCTTCACCTTGAGGGTTGTTTGTTTAGGTTGCCTGGGAAGGTATTTCTTATTGTGAAAGCTGGCTCAGATGGATGAAAAACTTAATTAATAGTATTTTCTTGTATATGGGAAAGAGGCTACAGTATAAGGCAAGCTTTTTAAAAACAAAACAAAAACGCTTCAAGTAATGTTGGTTATTGTGTTGCTTTCTTGTGCTGCCTTTGTTTTAATGGTTGTTCTAAAAATCTTGTTTTATGTTCCTCAACACTTTAGTATTTTAGTAATAATAGGTAAGGTGAAAACCAATGGTACAATATCTTTAAATATGATTAAAGTACACTAATTCATGCCTTCAGTAGAATATATGAAAGAAAACTTGAATGTGTTTTCAAAGATAGGCATTGACAGTTAGGAATGAGGACGGCACCAATTTTTAACCAATTTATCCAAAACGATTATAGTCTTTGCATTGAAACCATCTTGTGTACAGAACTGAGTGTTGGGAACATGGGAAAAAGCTATATACTCTTCTGCTGACTACAGTAGGTGTTAACAGTGGTGGGCAAAGTCATTTAGCTTTGCATCAGGCTTGCTACTGGGTAATCTGCAGCATTTTGGTATGTAGACCAGTCTTTGATTGCTGTTGTTTATGCTTTACTTCTCAGATTAGTTTTGCATTTAAAATTATTGTACTTTTCTAGCAGCAGAAGGAAGTAAGTCTTCCACAAATTACACCTTCCACACTGATTTCTCCTGGTGGTGCTAAATTTGTTCATGTGTTCTACCATTTTGCAAGATACGTAATGATTGAGAACATGAAAAAGCTCTCTGAAGGTAAGCTGTGTGGGACAATAAAAATGCTTCATATGTTGTGTTTGTAAATGTATCAAGTCTTTAATATGTGACAGGAGCTTTAAGAAGTTCTTAGTTGGATGCTCAGGTCAGAGTCTTTCTGTGCATTGCACAGAGCTACTGCTAGAACAATGTTCTACTGATAGAACAATGCAGATGGTTTTACTCTCTATCGCTTTATGGGTCTTGTTCCAAGGTTCACCTGTGCACTGCTCTGCACCATTACCCACACAAGCAATGGTTTGGTTCAAAAGTATTGGATGACTGCACTATTTTCTTTTTTGGAATTCAAGGAATTCTGAAGGATCAGATATGTTTGTTCTGGCATCTTGTATTATTGTAACCTAAAGAATATAGAAAGGGAGTGAGAGTGAGGGAATGAAAGTGTATACAACAGAAAAAAAGGCAAAAGTGGCAGTACACTGCATGCTATGTTTCAGTCCAGGTAAAAATGAGCATCTTGATTTGTGATTCTTGCAGTTTGATCTAGGTAGATTAGGAAGTTGCCAATTTGCTAAAAGCAAGTAATGTAATCCAAATCCTGGCTTCTATTTAGGCACTGGTATACCTTTTGCTGAAGCTGTAATGCAGAGACCTCGGAATATGTACATAGTAAAAGCAAGACACAGAGTTGCATACACTAAACTGCTGCAAATTCTTCAAAGGGAACACTTTGTTTTTCAAGAATATAGGAGAAAAGCACAGTAAGTAATTAAAAAAAAGTGAGTCTTTTCATAAAAGCTGACTTGTGTATGTGTTTTTAGAAGGATTTGAAAAGTCTGTATATGCTTTACATCACAGAAGTCATTCTGTTGAACTCCTCCCATGTTTTCCCCCTTTACTTTTTTTCTTCAACAGTTCTACTGCTTCTAGATCTTTTGTGAAGCATAATAGTCTAAAGAAATGAATTGTTTAGAGAGATGCTATATGTTACTTGGGCATTACAATGGTCAGGAAATTCTGCATGTATAGCAGTATGATTTCTTCTGAAGGGTAAAATACAACATTCTGAAGATGAAACATTTCGGGTTTTTTATTGACTGCAAGATACATTTTATTTACTTAAACCTTAATTATTTCACAAAAGTGTGCTATT